TTGTATCTAAAATGTATTATTGCTGTCTTATGTTTTGTGTTGTATTTTTATACTGTCCATGCTCTGCCCACCTATAAGAGAGCATTACACCACCAGCCATAACCCAACTTTCTCTGGCCTCTTTTTAGGAGTCTTCCTCCTCCTTTTTTGTTACCCAATGCAGCTATTAACACAAAGCTCTAGGAATAAAAAAAAATAAGTATAAAAAGAGGGATTGATTTAAAGCAAAATTCCAGTGCAAATAAAAAAAATAAATAAATGGTAGAGGCTATAAAAAACTGTAGCTGCTGACTTTTAAAAACAACTGACCTTTCCCCCGATCCTGTGATGTCCCTCCCCCACAGTCCGTTTCACCAGCCGCCCTGTGTTCCCGGCGCCAGCATCTTCAGTTTGGGCACCTGGTCACCATGGTGACACTGTACTGCTAGGGTGACAGTATGTAAAAAAAAAAAAAAAAAATGTAAAAAAAAAATGTTTAAAAATTATAATTTTTGGTTATAAACTAATTTGGATTTTTTTTTTACTAAAAAGATAATGGAATACATTTTGGCAAAGATTAAGGATGAAATATTATTTATTTGCAAAATTTTAAAAAAAAAACACTTTTTTAAAAAAATTTTGGACATTTTCATTTACATAGCAAAAAAAATAAAAATCCCAGTGGTGAATAAATACCACCAAAATAAAGCTTTATCTGTCTCAAAAAAATGGTAAAAAATTCATTTGGGTACAGTGTTGCATGACCGCGCAATTGTCATTCAAAGTGTGATAGCGCTGAAAGCTGAAAATTGCCCTGGTCAGGAAGGGGGTAAAAGTGTCCGGTCTGCAAGTGGTTAATGGGAAGCGGGGGACCAATCTTTAAAGTGGAGGAGGAGGGGGGAGGACAACCTCCGCTAACGATTACTTAGGCAATCACAGCAGGAGTGGGTACCTGTCAATTTTGGGTACCTGCTCCTCCCCCCCTCCCACTCCCCAGGGAGCGAAGGACCAGTCCTTATAGTGGAACCTCCCCTTTTGGGTGGAGCTCCACTTTAAGTGCATGTAAACCCTAACTGGATGCCATTTGCCTAATAAAGTAGTATTAATTCCAAAAGCATCATTTATTATATTGCAGCTTACCAATGCTTAAATGTGGTTGCTGCATTAGCTTTCTTTTTTTAGGCTTTCTCTCCCTTATTTTCATGTAGTGATCTGGCGAGTAAATCTGCTGTTTTTCAACAGAACAAGCTGTCCTGCAAATGTATCAGTTACAGCGATGAGACAAAACATTTACTACTGACAAGGGTGCTTACAATGGTCAGCTTTTATTTATTTATGTCAAAAACTCCAAAAGGAAAATAAAAAGGAAAACAATTTTCCTGTAACTACTTATTAAGTGTGAGCTGGAATTTGGCTTCAATTTGTTAGTGTATTTTAATCTGATAGTGTATCTAACACTCCCCTTCCCCCAGACTGGCAATGCTGCTGTCTGCCTTGCTCCCCTGTGCTCCTTCATCCAGAGTGAGGGCACTCTAATACAGGAGGTGTGTTACTGGGAAGATTACCAGGTGAAAACAGAGAGAAAAAGCCTAACAAAAGAAAACGTATGCAGGTATACATCTTAGCACTGGTACGCTGCAATAACTTTCATTTTTGGTTTTGGGTTTAATGCCACTTTAACCAATTCAATACCGGCAATTTTACACCTTCCTGCCCAGGCCATTTTTCACGTTTCAGCGCTCTCACACTTTGAATGACAATTGCGCGGTCATACAACACTGTACCCAAACTAAAATTTTATCATTTTCTTCACACAACTAGAGCTTTCTTTTGGTGGTATTTAATCACCGCTGGGGTTTTTATTTTTTGCTAAAATTAACAAAAAAATACCCAAAATTGTGAAAAAAAAACACATTTTTTCTTTGTTTCTGTTATAAAAGTTTACAAATAAATAATTGTTCTTCGTAAATTTAGGCCGAGATGTATTCTGCTACATGTCTTTGGTGAAAATAACCCAAATTAGGATGTATTATTTAGTTTGTAGGAAAGTTATAGAGTTCACAAACTATGGTATAGATCTGAAAATTGATCAATCCTGAAGTACTGACGGCCAATCTAATTTCTTGAGGTCCAAGAATGTCAGAATAGTACAGATATCCCCCAAATGACCCCTTTTTGCAGAGTAGACAGTCCGACGTACTTCATAAGAGGCATGGCGAGTTTTTTGAAGTTGTATTTTTCTTGTCATAATTTTTCGGAAAATTAAAAAATTAAAAAAATTATTTTCACTATTTTTTTTTTACATACTGTCACCAGTGCAGTACAGCATCATCATATAACTGGCATGGCGGTGATCAGGGACACTGACTGGTGACAGTATGAAAAAAATATATTTTTTTTTTTATTATTATATTTTAAATTTTTTATTACATTTTTTTTTTTTAAAGATTTTTTTTCATATTTTACTATGATCAAAGTAGTACGATGTTACCATAGTAGTACAATGTTACCATAGTAACATTGTACTACTTTGGGGAAGTGATCAGTATTTGTTTGTTTTTTTACACAATTTGCTTATAGCAAAGAATTAATTTACTATAAGCAAGCATTTACCTGAATGACATCAATTCATTCAGGTATTTTTTTTTTTTGTTTGTGCTTAGCTGTGATTTGGCCACAGCTAATCACATGACATGTGCATGTGACCTGCTGTGACCATTCACAGCTAGGCACTAGTATACAATGGATGGCATGAATGAAGCCATCCATTGTATACAACTGTCATGTGACCTGCTGTGATTGGTCACAGCAGGTCACATGGTACTGGCAACGGGGGCCGGTACTCAGATCTGTCATCGGCCGTGTCCGAGGAACACGGCCGGTGACAGATCGCACCACTGCGCAGCTCTGCAACCGCGCAAACTGCGCATGTGTGGGAGGACGCCAAATGGCGTACACCCCGGAAAGCTAAAGCATTTTTGCGGCCGCCAAACGGCTATAGGCCGGGCGGCTAATGGTTAAGGCTGTGTCACCATTACCTGAGGAACTGTCCCAAGCTCCTATTGACAATTATTATTATTATACTGTATTTATAAAGCGCCAATAGTTCGCTCAGCGCTGTACATTACAAAGGGGGACAGAACACGCGACAGTACAATAACAATACAATGCGATACACGAGGGTTCGAGGGCCCTGCTCCTTCGAGCTTACAATCTAGGACAATTGTTTATTGCTTGGCCAGGAGATAATTGATGGAGCGGAGGAAGGATGGGCCCCATGTAGGATGCTGTCCAGTTGGAATAGAAGCCTTAAAATTGTCTCTTAGCCACCATGCCTTCCTTTCTAACACTGCTCAGCTTTTGTGTGTTCGGAACACAACTAGCCATTGCACACAATATCCTGATTTGAAACTCTAGGCTGGGTTCAGATCTATGCGTTTTTGTGGCAGGTTTTCTGGTGCATTTTACAGTTTTTATGTGCATTTTTATGTGTTTTGGCCAATGGCAAGCTTTACGCTGATGTTGCATCTGTGGTGCGTTTTGGTGCTTTTTTTTAGTCACATGTCCAAGTGCATGATTAAAGTCAGGAGTCTGGAAAACGCTGCAAAAATGCATCAAAAATGCTTCAAAAATGCGTATATATTTGTATCACATTTTTTCAATGGTGCAGTGTAAAGCACCTTTAGAATTTAATTCATTGGAGGAAAAAAATGTCATCCTGCTCCTTCTAATTTTATTATCAATACAATAAAAAAATGAACACTAACCATTAGAACAGGGGTGCTCAAACTTTTGAAGAGCGAGGGCCACTTAAATGATCCATGGGCCACAATGAAATTAAATGGTTTAGAATTTGGATTTGTTATTTTGAATAGCATAATGAACATTTTCCTCCTGCAGCCGCTGAATGTCGGTGAGAGGAAGAAGAGGAGAAGCCAGCTTTCAGTGGTTGAAGGAGGAAAATGGAGAGCATTGGAACCTGTATATGCAGCCCCCACCGTCCTTCCTGTTCAAGTGTGAAACAGAATGTGACAGGGAGGCCGCACGGTCCCCCTGGAGCATGGGGTAGAGTCGCCATTATGACCCCTGACGCCACACCAGCCCCCCCACACACACACACATTTCTGATAGACTGATTATCAGCTAAGACTAAAACTTGAGCACATTTCATAACTTCTGAAATTATGACAGTATAGCCAGAATAAAATCATATTCACTTATATCAGTTATTGGTAGCATTTTGAACCCAAATACCCCTATGCTAGGAGGTAGTAGAGTATATTTGGCCTCCACACCCCTCCTAGGAGAAATAAATATCCAAGACCTGTCATATCTATATCCATTTTGAAGATACTTTCATGCTGGACAATACTCTGCATTGTAGCAGACTGTAAACGGTAGGTATTCAGAAATATGATTACTTATAAAAAAAACTGTATTTGGTCATAAATGTGGTGACCTACCAGCAGCACCCACCCCTTAAACCATATGATATGGCCTCTGTCAGCACCCCCCATGAAGTCAGATAAAAAAGAAATTGCAAGCAGATTTGATAGCTCTCGTTTTAACATCAACCAAGGAACACCTAACCGGACTTGAGAGAGACATTGTACCATTTTTTAGACTCTGCTAAAACCCAGGACTCTGCAAGTATTCTTCATTTTCAACTACATTTTAATTCTCTGTTGCTTTTTGTCTCTTTGTAGCTAAGAAATACTAAAAACTAAACTGTAAACTAAATCCCTGTCTCCTAAAGAGATCCACGGTATATGACAAATCTCTGAATATACCTGTCTGTGGTGACAGTGTTTGTACAGTCGTTTATTTTTCATATTTGTTCTTGCTAAGAGTGAGTTTGCACCTTCTCAGTCAAAAGGTGGTGGCAGCTTAAAGAGTTAATTGCTTAATAAAAGTATTACTAAACCCAGGACCCTGCATTCACTATACCTGGTCTCCCCGGACCCTGCATTCACTATATCTGGGTCCCCGGACCCTGCATTCACTGCATTCACTATATCTGGTCTCCCTGGACCCTGCATTCACTATATCTGGTCTCCCCGGACCCTGCATTCACTACACCTGTCTCCCTGGACCCTGCATTCACTATATCTGGTCTCCCCGGACCCTGCATTCACTATATCTGGTCTCCCTCAGACCCTGCATTCACTATGTCTGGTCTCCCCAGACCCTGCATTCACTATATATGGTTTCCCTGGACCCTGCATTCACTATACCTGGTCTCCCCGGACCCTGCATTCACTATATCTGGTCTCCTCTGACCCTGCATTCACTATATCTGGTCTCCCTCAGACCCTGCATTCACTATATCTGGTCTCCCCGGGCTCTGCATTCACTATATCTGAGTTCCCCGGACCCTGCATTCACTATATCCGGTCTTCCTAGACCCTGCATTCACTATATCTGGTCTTCCAGGAACCTGCATTCACTATATCCAGTCTCCCCGGACCCTGCATTCACTATATCTGGTTTCCCAGGACCCTGCATTCACTATATCTGGTCTCCCCGGACCCTGCATTCACTATATCTGGTCTCCCAGGACCCTGCATTTACTATATCTGGTCTCCCTGGACCCTGCATTCACTATATTCGGTCTCCCGAGGACCCTGCATTCACTATATCTGCTCTCCCGAACCCTGCATTCACTATATCCGCTCTCCCGGACCCCGCATTCACTATATCTGGTCTCCCGGACCCTGCATTCACTATATCTGGTCTCCCGGACCCTGCATTCACTATATCTGGTCTCCCCGGTCCCTGCATTCACTATATCTGGTCTCCCACAGTGCACACAACATGGAAGTGCAATTATTTTAGTAAATATAAACTGCTAAATACCTTTTCTCATCAGCAGTATATAGCAGTTTTGTGACAGTTTTGTGACAGTGTCCAGCCAAGCACTGGTTAATCTTGTAGGAGGAGTTTTCATTCTGCTCTGACTGTCCTATGAGGCTGCAGGACCTCTGACCCTCTGTCTGGACTGATTGGCCCTGTGCTGATCACATACACCCTCCCAAAGAAGAAAAAAACTTTCTAGTAATACACACTAAACTGAGTGCCTTCCAGGGTTTTGTACTATCAGCAAATGGATTGTGGACAGTAGGAGAAGGTGAGGATCAGAGAAACAGGATCAAACAGCCTTTTTACACAATGCAGAGGATTAACCCCTTAAGTTCCACCGTGAGTATAACAAGCATGTTTTACTGCATATACAGACTGATTTTACTATTGCGGGTTTGGTAACACTTTCACCCAGTGACTCAGGCTGCTGGCACCTAGATTATGGACCCGGGAGCTGGAAAATCTTTGTGCAGGGTGCAGCTGAGAGTGGCATTGTTATGTAAATGACAGTACAGTGGGAGATTGGCCAGTCCTTTGTCAGGAGTTGGTGAGAAGGGTAGGGTTCAGGCACCACATTTGGCACAACCTGCTCTTTGCCATAGACCTCTATTATAACCTTTGGGTGTGGTGTGAGATCGTGGGCCACATCAGAGGGCTCCATGGGCCACATGTGGCTCGCAGGCCACAGGTTGAGCACTCCTGCATTAGAAAATCAAACAATCTGAGAATTAATATTTTCAAATGAGATTCTACAGGTGGGGTCACCTTTACTTTCAGCTGATTTCATAGCTAATGTGCTGATATTATGTAAGTTCGATGGCAATTTTTTTCACTTGATTCTCTTTGAACTGTATATCCGATTTGTTTTCTCAGGATGTCAATGGGCTTCCCTTGTGATATGATGGTGATTCTTATTGTAGCAGCTAACAAAGTGCACTTTTTATACCATTTGCTAAATCTATTGGGATGCTGGATGGGCCCTGATCTGCCAAGCATGAATGTGACTTTCTTCTTCTTGACTTTACATGTATGTTCTCCCCCCCTCCCTCTCTCTTTCTTTCTCTCTCTCCCCCCCCCCCCTCCCATTTTTTTCTTCGTAATTACAGTTAGAATGTTCTGACATTTTTTCCTATTTCTATCTCTTCCATTTTCCAATTTCTTTCCATGCCATGCCTCTCACTATCTCTGTTATCCAGTTCTGTACTCCTCCTGAACAGATAACATCTGAGCTTTCTTCAAAATGTAACAGAGGCACTAATGCCGGGCTCAGAAGTGGACAAACTTAAACCGTGATATTTATAAAATTGGGAAATACGTCTAAATGTATGATGGTCTTTGCAAAAGGAAGTGGACTGTATTACAATTAAATGAAACTTTGGTTTAACCACTTAAGCTCCAGAAGATTTTACCCCCTTCATGATCAGGGCATTTTTTTTTTTGCTATTCGGCACTGTGCTACTTTAACTTAATTGCATGGTCATGCAACACTGTACGCAAGTGAAATGTATACAATTTTTTTCACACAAATAGAGTTTTCTTTTGGTGGTATTTGATCACCACTGGGTTTTTTAATTTTGTATTATATAAATGAAAAAAGACCGAAAATTTGAAAAAAAAAAACCCCCAGCATTTTTTACTTTCTGCTATATAACATATCCAATAAAAAAAATACAATTTCTTCATAAATGTAGGCTAAAATGTATTTTGCTATATGTCTTTAGTAAAACAAAAATCCCAATAGGTGTACAGTCAGGTCCATAAATATTGGGATATCGACACAATTCTAACATTTTGTTGTTATTTTTGTTGTTATTTATTTATTTTTATACTGTATCAGTATGCAGAGACTGACCCTAGGATCACATCTGTGCGGGTGGTGCCGCAGTGGATCCGCATGAAAATCCGTGCAACCGCACCACCCACACAGAGAATTGCGGACCCGCGGGTGGGTGCCATTAGTTCTAATTGCACGCCACCCACACTGGAAAATGCAACTGTACTGGGAAAAGAGGTTCCCATGTGGGCTGCGTTTTCCAAAGAAGAGCAGGGACTTCTTTCCCTGCATGTCACTGGCACGAGAGTCCATTCAAATGAATGGGCTCTTGTGCCCGTGCAAAACGCAGCCTGCACAGCCGCATAGATGTGAACTGGGGGTTATAGTGGGACTGTGATACTGCAGAGGGCAATCTGACACTGGGATTTATGTACTAAAGCTGGAGAGTGCAAAATCAGGTGCACTTCTGCATAGAAATTAAAAACCACACGATTTTGTGCAACTTCAGCTCGATTTCAGGTGCGATTTCTGAAGAATTTATTGCTACTTGTGAAGATTCCCAACGATTTCTTGCAATTTTCAGTGCGATTTCCATTATATTCTATGTACAGTATGCGAAATTGCAACAAAACTGCAGGAAAAGTAATGCAAAAACTACTTTAGAAATTGCGCTGCAGTGAATCGCACCTGTTAAGACACTGACATTCACTAGATGCAATTTCAGGTGCGATTTCAATTCCCAAATCGCACCGGTATGACCGGGCACTTACACTCCGGTCACATCAAGCCCGAATTTGAAATCGCGCAACTTACAGTGAAGTCGCAGGATTTCAAAGTCTGGGGACATGCCAATTTCAGGTGCGATTTGCAAGACATCTGACACAGATGTCTATGCAGATCGCACCAAATTTATTGCATGCACTACTATAGAAATCGGTGTGGCTCCAACCAAGTCAGAACCGCATTGATATGACCGCTGTAATTGCAGACAATAGGGTGCAACTTGGCATGCAATTTGTAAGTCGCATGGCATGCAAATCGCATGCCAAGTCGCACCCAGTGCGACCGGAGTCTTATTGCCAAAGCTTAATTTAACAAGCTGAGGTTAGAAGCTGATTGGCTACCATGCACAACTGCACCAGATTCTGATTGAACCAGCTTTAGTAAATCTCCCCCACTGTGTGGGAACTGATTAACTGACACTTTTATAATCCAGTGACACTGAGTCTAGGTTCTATGTGTTTTTCACAGCATTTTGCAGAAACACACTACAGTCCATTTAACATGATTTCCTATGGGACACATTCACATTGCCGCGTTTTCACCCGGTGCGTTTTTTGGAAAGGGTCAGGGACTATTTAAAATGCAAAACGTTGCATTTTTGGTTCTATAAACTTCAATGGAGATGCTGCAGAAAAACGTGTAGTTGTAGTGTGTTTTAGCTGCGTTTCGCATTTTTATCTGCCTAGCAACAAGAAAAAAAAAAAAATAAAATCACAAAATGCATCAAAAACATGTAACAACGCATCAAAAATGAATGTTCAAAAATGCAAAACGCACTGCAAAAAGCACTGCAGAAACAGACCAAACTCAAGCTGCATAGGTGTGAACCTAGCCTAATACAGTGATCAATGCTAATACAATACACTGTCACTGTACTAATGACACTGGCTGAGAAGGGGTTAAAATCCAGGGGCAATCAAAGGGTTAACTGTGTGCCTAACTTGTGTAATATGTGCTGCTTTTTCACCTAGATGTGTTTGTTTTTTTTTCTCCCTGCTTTGCTTTGTTTTTTCTCGCTGCTTCGCGTGCAGAGCCCTGTGCTGCTCCATGAATCATTGGCCAGGACCTGCTGACTGACTTGTGCTGTAGCCAATGACAGCACAGATTGGGTGGTGAGTGATCACCCTCCTACCCAGAGATTCCGGATCAGGTGCAGTGAAAGTGTGGTGGGCAGTCCACAACTGGTTTAAAGAAAAATGTGTATTCTGAAAAATCTCTTCTGTTGTTCTCAGCCTCCTCCAAATCTCAACGTTCCTTTTTTCTTTTTCTTTTTTGCTGCTGTGATCTGACTTTCTCTACATCCACTCCCTATGGTCCCACTTTATGTGGCAACGTAATCGCTCTCTCTTCGCTAGAAAGGTGAAATATGTACAATGTAATGTGTAGTGTGCCTAGAGCAGTGAACATGACCACAACAAACATGCACTGCACATTTAAAACAAAAGGAAGTGAGAGGGAAAAGGAGAGGTTTGGGAGTTCATGGAGGATGTTACAAGGAAGCAGAAAAACACAGTAATTTCTGATTTGAGTGACTTTCTTGTGTTCTTCCTCCTTGTCTGTGTGTTATAGGTAGGGGCGGACTGACAGCTCAAGGGGCCCCTGGGCAATAGGGGATCATGGGGCCCCTGTGTCCTCATCCACACTCAAACTACACCCAAAAAAGCCCATGAAAGGTACCAGGGGCATCTCATGGGGCCCCCTACTGACCCTGGGCCCTCGGGCAATGCCCGAGAGCCCGAATGGTCAGTCCGCCCCTGATTATAGGTACATGAGCAATATTGTGCTGCCTTTTTGTTTGTCTTTATAAAACGACAATAAAACATATTGAATGAAAAATCACAATCAATAGATGTAGCGACTACATTTGATTTTTTTTTAGGCTTTTTCCCTCTGTTTTCAAACAAGAAATTAGATTTATTGCAACCTACCAGTGCTAAAATGTGGTGGCTGCTTAAGTTTTCTTTTTTTTTTGCTCTGTTTTTAACTGGTGATCTGGCCAGTAACACACCACCTGTATTAGAGCGCCTCTACTCTGGATGAAGGAGCACAGGGGGCACCTTTGGACAGCAGCATTGTCAGTCTGGGGGGAGGGGTGTGTTAGATTTACTAGCCAATTTAGATAGACTCAAAAACTGAAGACAAATAACCAGCTCATCTTTTATATGTTACCAAAAAATGGGTATTATATTGTGTTTGTATTCACTAAAATTCAGCAAAGTGTATGTTTTTCAAAAGATTTGAATTGGAAAAATTGCAACACCCATCAGTTCATTTTCTAGGGCCTCTGTTTAGAAAATATATAATGTTTGTGGGTTTCTAAGTAATCTTCCAGCAAAAAAAATGATGATTTTTACATGTAGGAGAGAAATGTCATAATTGGCCCTCTAGGCAAGCGGTTAATTGGTTTGTCTCAATCATCTAACTGCCACTTTTGCTGAACATTTTCATCTGTTAAAGGAAGTTTAAAAATAACAGACTTGCAGTGGCCAGATCACTAGGTGGAAAAAAAGGAATACATTTTTCACCGCTCTACATTTAGGCGCTCTAACCAGTCCCCCACCCGCATACACTATATTTCCAAAAGTATTGGTCGGCCTGCCTTTACCAGCACATGAACTCTAATGGCATCCCAGTCTTAGTCCGTAGGGTTCAATATTGAGTTGGCCCCGCCCTTTGCAGCTATAACAGCTTCAACTCTTCTGGGAAGGCCATCCACAAGGTTTAGGAGGGTGTCTATGGGAAGGTTGGACCATTCTTCCAGAAGTCATTTGTCAGGTCAGGCACTGATGTCGGATGAGAAGGACTGGCTCACAGTCTCCGCTCTAATTCATCCCAAAGGTGTTCTATGGGGTTGAGGTCAGGACTCTGTGCAGGCCAGTTAAGTTCCTCCACCCCAAACTGGTTCCTCCATGTCTTTATGGACCTTGCTTTGTGCACTGGTGTGCAGTCATGTTAGAACAGGAAGGGGCCACCCCCAAACTGTTCCCACAAAGTTGGGAAAATGAAATTGTCCAAAATGTCTTGGTATGCTGACGCCTTAAGAGTTCCCTTCACTGGAACTAAGGGGCCAAGCCCAACCCCTGAAAACCAACCCCTATACCATAATCCCTCCTCCACCAAACTTTACACTTGGCACAATGCAGTCAGGCAAGTACCGTTCCCCTGGCAACTGCCAAACCTAGACAAGTTCATCAGATTGCCAGACAGAGAAGCGTGATTGGTCACTCCAGAGAACACGTCTCCACTGCTCTAGAGTCCAGTTGCAGCGTGCTTTACACCACTGCATCCGACTCTTTGCATCGCACTTGGTGACGTAAGGCTTGGATGCAGCTGCTCGGCCATGGAACCCATTCCATGAAGCTCTCTCTGCACTGTTGTTGTGCTAATCTGAAGGCCACATGAAGTTTGGAGATCTTTAGCTATTAACTCTGCAGACAATTGGCGACTTCTGCGCACTGTGCGCTTCAGCATGCGCTGACTCCGCTCTGTCATTTTACGTGGCCTTCCACTTCATGGCTGAGTTGCTGTTGTTCCCAGTTGCTTCCACTTTGTTATAATCCCACTAACAGTTGACCGTGGAATATTTAGTAGCCAGGAAATGTCACGGATGGACTTATTGCACAGGTGGCAACCTATCACGGGACCACGCTTGGAGTCACTGAGCTCCTGAGAGCGACCCATTCTTTCACCAATGTTTGTAGAAGCAGTCTGCATGCCTAGGTGATATTATACACCTGTGATCATGGAGGTGATTGGAACACCTGAATCCAATGATTTGGAGGGGGGTCCTAATACTTTTGGCAATATAGTGTATCTGGTATAAGTGTTTTAGGAATACGACTTTATGGGGGCTCTGTTGGTCCAGGTGGCCTTGCGTGTGGCTGGACTTTTGATATTTTAGGATACTAACAAAAGATCTCCGTTCTTTTGTGGACTCACTTACCACAGTCTCATTGCACGGTGATAATGTATACTGTTTATGCCCCTCATTTCATTATGGCTATTATCCGTTGACTGTACCATGTGCTTTGCTAAAGAGCAAAATAAAAAACTATAAATAATTCAAACAAAAAAAAAAGTAATACATCCACCATATTGAAGGACTGCCAGGCTGCAATATATTATTTTTTCGCTTTTGGGTTTAGATATGCTAAAAAGCAAAAATTATCAGTTAAAGTCGTCCTAAAGACTTAATGTCTTTATCTTCATGCATTTTGTGCATAAAGGTAAAAAGCCTTCTGTGTGCAGCACCCCCCCCCCCCCCCAGTACTTACCTCATTGGCTGCTCTATGCAAAGCCACTGCATAGTGCAGGTAAGTATAACTTTTTTAATTGCCTTTAGTTCATACTATAGAAACACAGCCCAGATGTGTTCTTGGTGCGTTTCCACATGAGCGTTTTGATGTGTTTTTGATGCATTCTGGTGCGGTTTATATGCATTCCAATGTGGTTTTTATGCATTCCAGTTCATTTTTTCCCCTTCTCTTTTTCTTCAATTCAAAAAGGGACATGCATGTTTCAGTGCTATTTTGATGTGTTTTGGTGTATTTTGGTGTGTGTTTTGATGCGTTTTACCACGTTCCAGTACAGTTCTGTGCAGAAAAATGCAGCCTGTTCTACTTTTTTTTCTGCAACCGGAACGCACTGGAACTGCAATCACTGATGTGGACTATGACATTGACAACCATATAACTTACTTTGTGTGTGTTTTGGATGCAGAAAAAGCAACTGAAACACATGTAGTGTGAACTGGCCCTTATTACTTTAAACCAGGAACAGACTGACCATTTGGAAACTCGGTCACTGCCCGAGGGTCCGGGGTCAGTAGGGGGCCCCATGAGATGCCCCTGGTACCTTTTTCATAGGCTTTTTTTAGTTTGGTCAAGGACACAGGGGCCCCATGATCCCCTATTGCCCGGGGGCCCCATGAGTTGTAAGTCCACCCCTGCGTTAAACCCTGTTTTGCTGATTTTCACACTATGTCTCCTTTTTTCCTAATTAAAGAAGTACAATATTCTACAGCTTTGACGTAAGACTAAGAGCAATATAAGCACTATTTCTGGGTAAACGGAAGGTGTTTTTTCTATATGTAAATGAAGCTAAATTGAAGGCCACTGGGAGATCAAAGAGGGAAAAAAAAGATTTGGTCCTGAATAAGGACAGTCCTCCTCCGGGGACAGATGGGAGCAGGGGCGGACTGACCATTTGGAAACTCGGGCATTGCCCGAGGGCCCGGGGTCAGTAGGGGGCCCCATGAGATGCCCCTGGTACCTTTTTCATAGGCTTTTTTGAGTTTGGGCAAGGACACAGGGGCCCCATGATCCCCTATTTCCCGGGGGCCCCATGAGTTGTCAGTTCGCCCCTGGATGGGAGATGTGTTCCTGGGTCTCAACCACAGATCTCGCTCAGCAATAATGTCACCACAAGGTATTTCCTCGGTTTGCAAAAACATTTGGTATACCGAGTAGATTTATATCCTTAGTGACTATTGAGTGACATGTTTAAATGAAAGTTTTTATGCCCAGAGTTCAGCTTCAAAGACAACCAAGAAAATAAAGATTGCACAGCAAGAACGTCAATGCTGGAAAATGGGTTTTAAGTATTCCATGTTTGTTCAATTGGAATAATAGACAGCACATCCCACTTGACCTGCATCACATTTTGTGTTTGCTCTTAGGGCAGATAAACATTGTCTCCCTCCTGAGAACTGACCCTCTTTGTGTGATGGAGCACAGATAATAACTGAGGCAACGCACTACCATGCCTCTCCAGCACAACATAGACCTTTATCTACGGATCAGCAAATTGATTTTTCTGGATTCAAGACTGGACTGGAACTTTGCTGACTCGGCAGATTAAAAACAAAGGCTGCAGTGCAGAGCGTGACATTATCAGGTTTAATAAGAGAGAGTATAGGACAATGATGAGGTATGAAGTGCCGAACGGGCAAAACAATAAAAATGACTGGTGGCTATAAGTGAAGCTGGCCATGGACGGAACTATTTTTCTACGCAGCCAACAGAGATTCACAAAACTTTTTTTACTAACACTATAATTGGCTCATTCCAGTGCAAAAATAACTGTAAATGATTGATAAACATGGCAGAAAATCATTCTTGGCAGAAAGTCATTGACCAGAAAAGTTATCCATGTGAGCAATTGTTCTAAGTAGTGGAATGGTGGAAATGATGTGACATCTTTGTAATGTCTGTTCCATCAATGCGATTTCAGTGGCAAAAGATTTCCAGGAAAATCATTAAATTTTCAAATAGCAATCATTTCCATTTTGAGCACAATTAGCATTTGTACAATCATCTGAATCTCATTCATTTATATGATCATTCAGTCACCTCATTTTTGGTCAGCCTTAGTGAGAAGAGGAGCAGGTCATGAAGGTAAAAGACCAGAAGAGAAGTAACCTTTATTTGCCACAGTAATGACTGGAGATCGGTGGAACGGACATCAGGACAGATGAGCATTAACCTGGTTCTTTTACAGGGACTTCTGGCTTGATTTTATTTAATGAACAATG